TGATGCCTGGAACAGCCCGGGCTGGTGCCCTGCCCCCACGGCGCGGTCTGAGGGTCCTGTCCTAAAAGCGGAAGCAGCCCTCCGGGCACTGGCACCTTTGCTGGCGCAAGCGCGCGGCACACGGTCAGCACGTTGCACTCACTCCGCCCCAGCCTCCTGTGCTCTGGCAGCGTTTTCCAGAATCTTCCTTTTCCACTCTTCGTAATCCAGCGCCGGGTCTTCATTGCTTTGTGGTTTAGGTGGGACCTCTTCCACCTTCTCTCTTTCTGTGAGAGAAAATTCCCAAAGCGTTTCAAAGTCTTACATTTACAAATGACCTCAGAACAAAGTTAGCTTCTTCCAAGTGTCCGCTGTCAGGGTCACAGAGAACGTGACCCCGACTAGAACGTGACCCTGACGGGAACGTGACCCTGACAGGGAAGTGGGGGAGAGACAGCAGCTCACACACCGGATTTTTGCTCCAAGCATCCCAGACACCCTGCCACGCACTCGCCTTGTGCCTGACAGGCACTGAAGCCGCAGCCCCTCCTTCAACCCTCAGGGCACCGCTAGGAGTGGGTGCTGATACTAACGACTTCCATCGCTTTGGAAATAAGTGACGTCCCTAAGCCACAGCCAGGCGGCGGCAAGGCCGGACTGGAGGCCACGCTGTCCGGCGGCAGCTGTGCCCTCACGGACCCGATGCCCGTTAGGCGTGTAACCGAGCAGCAGTCAACCCCGACCGTCCGTCGGAGTTAGCGCCTTACCCATTCCCGGAGCTCCATCCTCCGTCTTCTGTCTCTTCCGGGGCAGGGAGCCAGCATCTCGAGGCTGTCCTTCAAGAAAGAAGAAGTGTCGTCAGGTTAACTTTCTCCTATTCTCAATGTCAGTATTTGGGCATATTAATACTAAAATTTAATGTTTTTATTGATTTCAGAGAGGAAGGAAGTGGGGGAGAGAGAAACATCAATGATGAGAGAGAATCATGGATTGGCTGCCCCCTACTGGGGATGGAGCCCGCAACCCGGGCACGTGCCCTGACCGGAAATCGAACCAGCGACCTCCTGGTTCATAGGCTGATGCTCAACCACGGAGCCACACTGGCCAGGCTTGGGGCATTTTTTGGATGACAAACAAAACCCAGATTCCTCGCCTGATCAACTACTAGTAGGGAGAAGGCAGCGAGCTTGCCCTGGTCTCTTCTCTGGCTTCTCGCCAGCCCTGCGAACCCCGGCTCTCCCAGCTCATGTGCGGGCGGAAGCTCCAGTGTGCGGGCGGCCTCCAACATGAAGCACGGCAGAGACTCCACATGCAGGTGGACTCGGAGAGTCACAGGCTTCTGAAGTTACTGAGCTACTTTAACCGAACAACAGAATAAAACAACTTCCTCGCTGAAACGGGTCTGGAGCAGAGGAACGCAGCATTCAGGGAGCAGCCGCTTCGCCAGGCTGAAAACCCCGGGCCTTGGTTGGCAGGTTTACGTTCCCACAGGACACACCCTGAGCCGCGGGACTGCTACTCACGGTCCGTCCGCTGCCCGATCTTCTCTAACTGTTTACACAGCCGATCGAAGATGGCTTTCTTCACGCCGGACGTGGCCGCCATTTTACCTTTATCCACCTTCAGCTTTAAAATCCTACAAAGAAAACTGGTAAATTATTGTTCTGCAGACCAGTACAGTTGTTTGGTTGAAGATATTTTTAAACTATAAATATGTATTTTGATTGATTTCAGGGAGGATTTCAAGCCCGCAACCCGGGCACGTGCTCTGACCCGGAATCGAACCGTGACCTCCTGGTTCATAGGTTAACGTTCAACCCCTGAGCCACGCTGGGCGGGGCGGACTGTTCTGGATGCGCAGACTCACTTACTTGCACGCCGTGAGCAGGGCGGCGGTGGTGAACAGCGGCCTGGACAAGTCGAGGTCTGCTCGCTGTGCCTGTGGAAGGCTGGACTCGTAGCTGAGGGAGAGCAGTGTTGGCAGAATTCCTCGTTAGAAAAGTGTTTCGAGGGGACTGGGAGGCAGATCAGGTGGAAAGGCTACTTAAATGTGAGATATGCATTCTGTCACTTCAGCATCTTTGGCACTGGAAGCTGCGAGAACAGAACTCTGGGTGACTTTGCTTTACGATCAGCATTTATTTCCAGTCCAGGCCCTCTCCACCTCCTACCTTTGCAGCATCTGCACAGCCAAGTTCACGGCCTCCGTGCAGCTAAACTGGACGGCCAGGTCTTGTATCCCGACACTGGAGTTCAGGCCCAGCAAACACTCGAAAGATCTGAGGCAGCTCTGGTACGTCTTCTGGTTCACACCGGAAAGCTTAGCTGCATACGCCTTCGAAAGGGAAGCACACACACGTCCTAAGTCCCACACACAAGGGACGGTGTCGGGGAGAGCTAAGTGGGGCTCTCGAGGCGCTCACCCCTCAGAAAGGCGGCCGGGCACACGCAGGCAAGTCGCAGAGCAGCAGTGTCGCTACCGCGAGCTGCCGGAGCACAGCGGGCGCAAGCTCAGTCGCCCACGTTTCAACGAAGGCGCTAACGTGCAATTCACGGGGACGAGGAGGGGAGTCTGGGGAGGGCAGGGGCGTGTGGAGGGACAGGGAGAGAAGAGGGGAACCAGGAGAGGGACCAGCTCTGCCTGGGGGCGTCCTCACAAAGGGGGTCCCAGCAAGGCGGCCATGGAGGTCCAACAGGCGCCCGCCAGAGGGCGTTCCCATGGAAAGAAGTTGCTGCAGGTACAAAGCCTTAAGCCAGTGGTCGGCAAACTCATTAGTCAACAGAGCCAAATATCAACAGTACAACGATTGAAATTTCTTTTGAGAGCCAAATCTTTTAAACTTAAACTATAACGGTAGGTACATTGTTATTAACTTAATTAGGGTTCTCCTAAGGCTTAGGAAGAGCCACACTCAAGGGGCCAAAGAGCCGCATGTGGCTCGCGAGCCGCAGTTTGCTGACCACTGCAGGCCGTTCAAGTGCCGGGTCCGTTGGGGGAACTGTGTGGCCTGGAGTCTGTTCACGAGAAGCTGGTGAGTCTGATGGTAACGGGGAGCTACCCCCGGGGGCCAGGGTGTTTTCAGCGCATCGTTATGTGCCAGCACTGCGTTCAGTGCGTTTCACACAGGGCACGGTTTAACCCTCGCGACGACACAGTGCGAGGGGTATTCTCACCCCCTCAGGGGCGAGGACGCTGGAGGTAGACACAGGTGGGGCCGAGGTCTGGCCTCAACCCGGACATCCCCATTCCCCGGCCTGTGCCCCCAGCCACCGCGATGCTGAAGGAAAGACACACCGGGTTTCAAGGAATGCGCTTTGGGAGGATGCTGGCTGCAGCAGGCAGGGCCGGTGGCCTTTGGTGAAGACAGGCGGGCCGGCCAGGGAAATTGGATAATAAAGAGTGTTGCAAAAAAAATAATTTTTTCCCCCCCAACTTGACAAAATGGAGGTAAAGTCCATCCAGCAGTCAGGAAAACTCTAAAACACAAGAGTCTTGATGGGGCCCAGTCCAGCCGGAAGGTGACACGTGCGGTAGGGCAGACCTTCGGGGGGACCCGCTTACCCGGTCCAGGGGGCAGCTCCGGAGGGAAGCCGCCAGGTCCAGGCACATGACGGCCCTGCTGGTCTCCGTGGTGCGCGCGGACAGGCCCCCACACTTGAGCCGCGACAGCCGCAGGTGCTCCTCCGCTTTCCTGGGCACAAGGGCGACAGACCCCTCAACACTCTGCTCCACGTTTGTCCGACACGGCGGTAGGCAGAGTGCCGCCCGCGGGCTGGGGTCCGAGCCCGTCTCCCCTGCAAGTCCACGCGGGGCCGGGGCGACGCACGTCCCTTGAGGAGGACGGGGCGCGGCGGCTCCAGACACCACGGTGCTCACGCATCGCTTGCAGGCAAAAGCCGGCTCCCCAATCCCTCCCCAAACGGCCCTTCTCGTCCTGACGCTCCTGGGACCCGCAGGCGCCACCCGCAGCCAGACCACGGCTCCGCCCTGCCCCTTCCTCCAG